GCAGCCTGGTCTCACCCTCTCTAGGATGAACTTGTTTGTTCTCCTAGCAGTCCATGGTATATTCAACACTCTTCTCCAGCACCACAGCTCAAAGTCATCAATTCCCGTTCTATCATCCTTAGTCATTGTCCAGCTCTCTGATACACAGCAAGTAATTGCAAAGATCATGGCCTTTATTAAGCACACCTTAGTCTCCAGACTGACATCGTTGCTCTTCAGTGCTTTGGAGAGGTCTCTGACAGCAAACTTTCCCAGTGCAATTAGTCTTTTGATTTCCTGGCAGCTGGTATAGAGTATTAATTGTGGAGCCAAGCAAGCTAAAGCTGTGAACAGCCTCAATCTCTTCACTATCTACCATGATGCTGCCAATCTGCCCAGAGGTGAGAATCCTAATGTTAAAAATTATATATATATATTGATTCAGTGACTGGGGTAATAAGGGTAGGTGTGTGAGAGACAATAATGTTGGCACAAGATAGGGCAGGTTTCAGGTCTATTGTACATAAAGACGCTGTAATTCACAAGCCACTCAACAGCACATAACCACCACCACAACAATTTATATTTAAAAGCTTTACAAATTTTTATTTTCTGTTTAGAACATCTTTCTGCACATTGTGGACTTGTCTGATCCTAAGGCAATCTGGAAATTTGTGGAGAAGTTCAAGCAGGAACATAAACTAAATGTTCTGGTAAGTGTCATGAAAATAAGTCAGGTACACACTTCCTGTGTGGATGTGAGCTGGTGTGTGTGCTTGTGTGTCCATATGTGGCCTCTTCCTGAGAAACTTTTGTGATTTGTTCCATTTGTATAATCAGTTTACCTACTGGATGCCAGAGGGGACCCAGCGTGTTGATTAGGTATGTGGGGAGAGCAAGTGATTGTTCACTAGGTAGGCATTGTACCAGGACAATATCCTGCCTTTCCCGTAAATGACTACTTGTATGTCTATATTTCTGAGCTCTGTAGGGTTGAGAGCAGGCATATCAAAATTGGAAACCCAGGGGAATAAATAGCCTCGCCCAAAAGCATGCTTTGTGCAGACGGCCTAACGTTTAGTAACATGGTCCACGAGAAATGCTGAGGAGATCCTGAGAGGACATAGGTGGGAAGGGTCCCCCTCTTCAAAGAGCCTACCCAGATGCTCCAGTGGAGCTGGGCTGCTTTTCTTTTTGTTTTTTAAAAAAAATCTTTATTACTTTTTTTGTGTGTGTCTACCATCAAATCAGATCTGACTAGTACAGGAGGAGATTGTCCCTCCTTCTCCAGCAGAGCATCTGGAGGATTTGAACCGCATACCTCTGGGATTGTAGTGCAGCTTCTTGCCAGTAGGCCTCCAGAGCTCGTCTGAGCTGCTTTTCTTTCTCGTCGTTTCTGTGTGTCTGAAGATGTCTGTTTGGGCAAAGGGCTGCACCAGCACTGTCTACTCTGACTGTTGAGCACTTGAAAGTTGTCTGTTGTTGTTGAACTTCCCCTTAAATCCAGGCGATCCCACATACATGGGAGGAAGCATTGCTCCATTTCACATCATCTCCATGATCGGGCCACTGCCATCTGCAGGCGTTTCATGGCTTGGTTTTCAGAAGGGAGTTGCCAGGCATTTCTTACTAGTCCGACTTAGTCAGCTGAAAACAGTTCAGCTACTGAATACAGTTCAGTATTGTGACAGCGTGCAAGCCTCCACTAACAGATGAATGGTGGTTGCTCACAAGATGCATTGGCTGGGAATCGAACCTGGGTCTCCTGCACGGAAGATGAGCATTTTGACACTGATCCACCAGTACTTAAAATATGTTGTTGTTTGTTGTTATGTGCCGTCGAGTCGTTTGCGACTCATAGCAACCCTATGCACAACAGCCCTAAACCCTGCTCTATCTATCTTGTGCCAATCTCATTGCCTCTGACACTCCCGTCCCAATTATCCCAGTCACTGAATCAATCCACCTCATAGAGGGCCTTCC